ATCGCTAAGTTTAGAAGTAGTTATATTGCTTTGGATATTTCAATCACGCCGAAAGTTCATGCAGTTTTTTTTCATGTACCTGATTTTTGTGCCAAAGTTGGAAGAGGTCTTGGTTTCTACAGCGAACAAGCTTTGGAGTCATTGCATTCCGATTTTCAAAGTATTTGGGCGAAATATAAAGTTCATGAGTCTCATCCAAACTATGCCGAAAAATTGTTAAGAGCCGTTCAAGAATACAATTCGAGGCACATATAAGTGATCGATCAATTAGAAATCTATTCTCGAAAACTATAAACTGTGTTATATATGTGCCTTATATAATTGTTATGCGTTACTATATGAAGTTATTTTATTTATTATGTGTTTTATGAAGAATATATTTATTACAAAAACTCAATTGTCATTTTTATTTCTATTTTCCAACGTATCATTTATGCTAATAGAGAATTTTTTGTAAAAATAATTTTTTATTTGAATACCAATTAGAAAAACTACTTTTACTTAAGCTTCGAAAAATATATTTAGACGTTGCAAATATTTTTTTCGTGAAAAAAATTGACATAAACGTGATTTTTTTTCACTTTTTTATATTTCTTTTTTCAAAAATGAGTTTTTTCAAAAACGGCCCTCAGAAATTCTGTAAAAATTTAAATGAGCTTACATTTTGTGTTTCTGAATCGAACCCCATGATTTTTTTCGTAGTGCTTTTCCATGCTATTTAAAGTTGGTTCAGGACCACCGTGAGTGATGATTAGGCTTACAGCAGATGCCACTGTAAAGGTGCTTGCAGTACGGAGAAAAGTTGTTATCACAGAGAAGGAAAGTTATGTCATTGGAAATGCTACTAGAGCTTTCAATAAATAATTTTTATATTATATTAATATTACATTGCTTCTTGGTCGAAAAAAAAACCGTTATTGGATTTTACTTACTTAGTTGAACTAGGTCATTTTTTAGTAACTTTCTCTACAAATATCTTTATTTTTTCATCTTTAATCTTAAATAAATAATAAATGTAATGACTCAAAACTTTAACTTACATGTAATATTTACAGAATTTTTTTTATTTTCTGTATAGCATACTAAATTAGTATATAGCACTTTCTTTAATAATAATTAACACAATAGTTCAATGAAATCGTTTATTAGTTTATTAAAGATAGCTTTAACAGATCAACTTTAGTTAGTGTTCCAGCGGTCGGTATTAAGCGGAATGCCTACTCAAAGCAATGAATTTAAGAAAATTTATCACATTGGTTAACTGCATCAGAATTTGCTGAAATTTGCTGAATGCCCTATTATTCTACAGAATTATAAAATAATTGGTGTTTTTCATAAAGCGAGTACACGTGACGGTATGGATGATATCAATTAATTTATAATACCTTACTTTAATTAACTAAATTATTAAGAAAACATAAAAATAAAAATTATTCTAAATTTTCGAAAATAATTAAATTTGAAAGAATGATTTTCATCAACAATTTATATAAATTTTTAATAACTTTCATTCTTTTCAAGCCTGTCTATCAATCATAAAATGCAAGCCTCCGTCGCTGATTAGCACTGATGGAGCATAAATAGAGCGAGGTTAAACAAAATTAAAAAAAAAATCATAAAATGATAAAAAAGTATCATGCACGAACCAGGAAAATAATTTAAGGGAATATCGTAAGAAATTTACGTTCAGAGAGAAAATATTGTCATTAGTTTGCAGTTTATGTAAAAATTGCAGTTATCCCGCATACTTTAAATCTTGAACCACCTGGAATGTCCTTCAATTTTGTTAAAAATTAATTCAATTTTCCTTGATAATAATGAAATCTACAATATTCTTTTATTTGAGGGTGTCTACATCGTGTAATTTTTTAATCATTAATATTTGTTTAATATTTATTTTTTTAATCATTTTTTATGATACCGATTATTGGTATCTTCTCGCATGCACTACAATTAAAGGATAATGTAAAACTTAAAATATTCCGTAACAAACAAAACTTATTTAATATAATGAAAACTACATTATTTATAGGTTATGGTTTGCTACAACATCCTCTTAAGTTTAAAAAAATAATTGTATTGTAGTTGCTCATAAATATAATTTTTTATATAAAAAAAAGTTAGATAAAAATTAAAATTTTTTATTATAAAGTTATTATAATTTAATGACTTAAATAAGCTTATATTACATTATAATATTATAATTATTTCATAATTAGATGGATTAAAGTAGCCCATAAAGAATTACAGATATTAAAAATGTGTATAAAGTATTGATAATAAAAAGTTAACATCAGAGTAATTTTTTAGATTTCATTACTTTCAAAACTTTATAAACATTATTATAATGTATTTTTCTATAAATTTATTTAATTACTGTAAGGTATTAGAAAATGAATTTGACTATTTTCAAATGCTTAGGAACACTTTAAGAAAAATCATTAAATATGATTAGTATTTATAGTGAGATTTTTCAAATACATAACTGATACTGTTAAAAAAGTATTCATGCAAATTAAAAATCTTATTTACCGTCAAATTATTAAAAGCGTGATTTATCCATTTATTTCAAATACCATAGATATAGGATGATAGTTATGAGTGAGAAAAAACAATATTAGAATATTCACAATTATGGCACTAAGTATAGTAGTATAACATTCGTTCTATCTACTATATTTCTTTAGAAACTTATGAAATTATTTAAGGTAAATCTATACATGTATATATATATATAGGTTCAACTGAATATTTTTATAAAATAAATATTTATTATTTTCTAAAATAGTTAATTGAATTATTTGTGCAAACGATGAAAATAATCTTTCTTCTGTATTGCTAATCATCTTTTTTGACATATGTGATGCATAGACATTAACAATAAATATAAAACTATTTAATTTTAATAATATCTCAATCATATCTTTTGGAATAGTAAATGAATTAAAATATAAAAAATATTTAACTCTTTTATTATTATGAAATCGAATTCTTGAATTTTTTTCAATATCTTTATTTATAGAAAAAAGTTTAATTCTCTTTGAAAACATCTGTAAGTTTTTCAATCCTTACAAACTTCATAAATAAAATATTTTAATAACGTGTGTAATATAAAAATGCTGTAGTGTTTGCGATTTCTCTTTCTAAATAAAATAGTCGAGATAATAAGAAATTATTTCTAGAGATGCAGTTCCAAGTTACTTTCGATTTATTGCGTCATATGTAATAATTTTTTGAATTATTTCACTTCAATGTCGAAACATCGCCATTTGTTTTCAATGTTAGAAATACCAGTGATGTATAGCGCGCTTCGCGCGCTCTCTTCGCATTCATATTATTGCACAAATATAGATCAAAACTTTTACTGACAAATATAAAAATTCAAATATTCCCTTGATTTGATATAAGATGTACCTGACGATATTATTTATTGGAAAATAAATATTCAGTTACGTTAATATTAATGATTTAAAAACGTTATCAGTAAAGTTTTAAGTTTTTATCATCTAAAGGTGTGTTGAAAAATCATTATTCAAAAGTTTGAAAAATACAATAAAAATATGAGATAAGTTCTAAAATCATTATACTTTTCTATAATTATATTTTGCACGATGTAAATAACATATTTCTATGGACATTCACATTCGTAATCGGTGAATTTAAAAAAAAAATTTCTAATATTTTACGTAGTTTTATAAAGCCGAATCACTGTACGATATTTTACCATGATAATCTATCGATTTATGTTTTATTGCCTACTTTGTTTATTCGAAACTAAACTTTCGCATAAAGTAAAATTTAATTAATTTCTCTATATATTGAGGTATCAGTCGGTTTTTATTTTGAGGTTAGTGTGATTAAATCAATCATTCATATTAAATTTATGCTAACTATACTGATACACTTTTCAAACATTTAGTTTACGAAAATCTGTAGTAATTTTTCGCGAGTGTATACTACATATATATACCAGACATAATCATATAACAGCTAATCACGTGACTATCTTTCAGCCAATCAAATCCCAAATAAATTTGCTTCACTTTGTTAGGTTCTATTTTTTATAAGAGCAAAGCCCTTATAGCGTAAGTAAACCTAGGTACTTAATAAACATTAATTATATTATTTGACATCTATTTCCAATCCCTGCAGAGCTTTGCACAAACTTTCTGTAGTAATGTATAAAAATTCAAAACTAAAATGAAATTGCAAAGTTAACACGTTGGTGTGAGTTTTCGATATTTTTAAAGCTATATAAGGGGACGAAAATTTGTATACAAAATGAACTTAAATATAGTTACCGACATATATTTTGGCTCATAGAATTCGAATTGGAAATTACATCAACGATATCAATTTTGTTCTTTTAATAGCAAAAATATATAAGAGTACCATAAATTTCACATTTTCGTTATTCATATCAGAGTTTTTACGTGATTTTAAAACCTTCATAAGCATAGGAAAAGGTATCACAAGGCAGTTAATAAATAGTACATTTGTATACTAAGTAAAAATCGAAAGCGAGAAAGTAATTTCAAGTTAGTGTGGATACTTGCACATGAGCAAAAGGAAGGTGAATAAGCAACTTTATTTTTTGATATGACGTGTGTGGGTCAGGATTTTAAGCATGCTGGATTCCTCGTGAGTTCGTAAAGTTGAGTCACCGCGCACCGTGCGGGGAAGTTAAATTCATGTATGTATGTTTAAATTATTTCATTTCGTGATTTGTTTGAATCAAGAAGTAACAAAAAATTAGATATGTAGGTGGTTGCTTGCGAGTGCGTGTCTAAGTAACGGCGTGTACATATGTGTATAAGTTAGTAAGTAGACATGACGTGCAAAAAACCACAAGACATTTTAGGATGTATTATTTTACACACATTTATTGTGTAAAATAATATATGGAGCAAAGTAGAAAACAATAAGAATAATGTGGGACATGGAAGAATAGGTGAAGTTTGAGAATAAGAATGACTGAACTTCGGAAGCAAGAGTCTTACCTATGCCAATGTTGTGAGCCTGGGTGACAGGCAAGGGGGCGCAGCATGAGGCACCTAGACTGGCAACCCTTATCCGGGGGCCAGCCTGGGCGATCCCCCCTTGGGGGGGCCCTTGGGCCCCGTAGCCCTCCAGCTCCTTGGAAGAAGCAGGAGCCGCGGCAGGGGCCACCAGCGTTCCGAACGCCCCGGAGGGTCCCGTGACTAGCGCTTACTGCAGACCCTAACCCTACTGACCCAGCTGCTCTGCATACAAACGCACAGCCTTGTAGCTAGGTAAGTGGCACTATTTCAGATTTGTCGGATAGCTCGCTTGACACTCGCACTTGTTTGAGCTGCAGCTTCAGCCCAGCTACCGCAGGCTTCGCGGTCTCATTGATAGCCTCCGCTGCAGCAATCTGCTTGGCGAGGCGAGCCGTCGGGGCAATTGACCGTCGACACTACTTTTGGCATTAGCCGAGCTTGTAGCTGCAACTTATTGATATGTCACTATTCACTGTCTCTTGTCAACCGAACCGAAGTGGCACAATCTCACTTATTCAAACACTCATAAGCCTGCTACAAAGTGAACGTGACAGTTCACTATACGTTTATATACGCTCTCGCTCCCCAACTTGAACGAAGCGTTCGCGCCGAGTTCGCCAGTCAACTGGTGCCGGCTCGGCTGGCGGCTGCGCACCTGCCCTTCGATCGCGGTCCGTCTACGCCCACTTTTCTCTCTCTCTCTCTCTCTCTCTCTCTTCCTCACTCATTCTCATCACTGGTTCCGATGATGCAAGCGGGGGGGAAGGGAGGCGCTTAGTCGACTCCTGATAGCCAACCAGCTATCGATGCTACTCAAAGTCCGCCTCACCGGTGACACCACCGTTAATACTGTTCACTTTATACGATATAATACTTGTATAGTTTCTATTTCACTCTTTCCGACCACTTTACCAATAGTCTATAGCCACTGCAAGCATTAATAGTAGGTAACAACTGTTCACTCATTCATTTCAGAATCGACACACTCACCCCGTCAATCAAGTTTGTCATTTTTTGATTAACGAGATTTTCAGGGTATCTAAGAAATTTATAAGATTTCGTACTTGTTTCAAGACGATTAATTACTCCAAATCCAGTTTAAGCTTGTTATATATTATTCGTATTATCAAATTTAATTTTCATTATTATTGCATATTTGTATAGATATATTTGTAGTATAACCGAATATTGAAGCAGATTCTTTTTACGTTCAATCAAATTTTTTTAATTTCTAAAAGTTTTCTAGGAATAAATTTCTTTGTATTTTATTAATTAAAGCGGAATGTTGTTATCATTTAATCGTTATTGTTCATTTATAATACAATTTGACAAATTGCGTAAGATATATATTAATATTCTCTGTTCGATAATATTTTACTAAGAGCTAATTCTACTAATATAGTTTAAAAAAACATTATCAACTTAATTGGGGATGAGGGAGGTGCTTTCTTGAAGAATGAAAGAAAAATAAGAATTTTTTATTACGTTCTGTAGTAATCAAGGGTTGAAATGTATATTCTTTATACAATTACTGTTACCAGACTGTAGAATAAAACAGGATACCACTACTTTGCAACTGAAAATCAATAAATTATAAAGATTATCTTGCTCATAATTAGAAATACTTTCATAAATAAAGTAGCTGCACGGTAATAATTTAATATGCAAAGTAAGTATACTACAATTCAAAGGAGATTGAACATTATGCAGCTTCCAGTAAAGTATAAAACTTAATAATTAGTCAATAATTAGTAATTGCTTTCACTAATATCGTTAGAAAATCTCATTTCAAGTATACTTACATAACTATAAGCAAGCTTATTAGTGTTTAATGTTTATTGATTATAAAGAATATGATTATACTTAAGAAAAAGTCTCAACTTATAGGCACTAAATAAATTGAAAAATAGTCAGTAAGTGTATTAGATATCAGTAAATAATAAATATGAGCCTTGACGTCTTATACTATAGGTCATAGAAGCCGAGGATGAAATTATAAAATGTTTTTAATTTTCAAAAATATTATTTTATTATGTGGATTCCATATTTTTTAAACAAATAACCATATGACTTTGAGTGGGAGTAAATTTTCTAGCATAGCAATTTTGCGTTCAAACAAAATGTAGTCTTGTGTGAACATTAAAACTGAGCTTTATTGCGTATCATACATCAAAACAGATGAAAAAAACAACAATATAGTAAGATGGAATAACTTCTTTTATCTATATTACTTAATACTTTTATTTTCTATATTACTTGATAAATTACAACATACTTCTAATTCTTCTCAACCTTGTCTGATACATTTCTTTATTCAATAATATTTTACTAAGTGCTAATTCTATTCGTTTGATAAATTGTTTATAAATAACGCGACTAATGCTAAAATTTTCAACTTTTGGACCCTTTGAATCACAATTTTGAATTTTGAATCACACACATTGTACCCAATAGGAAAGGATACTCTTTTTATATAATCTATCGATTTTTTTGGAAAACCTCCGAATAGGAGTCTAGATTTTCAAATATCTTAATTACGTACTTAATCGAAAATGTTATTTGAAACAGCCGAGTTCGTTTCCTACACATATTGTTTCCACGCGATTTGATTCTACACGAATTTTATAATTTTATTTATTAAACATAGTGTTTTGTAATTAAACAAAAAACATAACATACTACTTCTTAAAAATGAAGATACTATTTAACATATAAATATTCTACAAAATATTCGATTGGAAAATAATTTACCGTAGATATTCTGCATAAAATAGTTCTGCAAGAATAAAAAAAAATATTTGAAAGAATTATATGATTAAATATTGCCCATTATTAAAACAATAATCAAATGTACGATTATATGGTGTAGAATATTTAGCTAATAAAATCGTATTGAATCAGTATCTATATGAAACGAACCCTACCTTTGTAACACAATGTTCATGTTTATGAAGTTTGATGTCTTATAATTTACATTTATGTTTAAAATTTAGTAATAAATTTCTTTATTAATGATTTATGTTCTATTTTAATAATTTAACTTCAATTTAAATTACTTATGATTCAATTATATAAATAAATGTAATTGGCTGTTTAAAATAAACTTTAGACAGAATTTCATTTTCTAAAACGTTACAGATATTACTGTAGTCTTATTTTAAACTATGTATCGTTCAAATAACATAATATATTTCAAGTTTTTTTGATTAAATATAAAATGTGATGTAACAACGAATCTATAGGTCAAAATTACAATAGAAAAACCATTTTTGTAAAAATAGATTATTTTTCATGTGTCGGGAATTCAGTACTTTATTTCTTTACTTATTAGGATATAATTAATTTTAGTGTAAGCACGGGAACAATAATGTAATGTGTTAACGACAATTTATCGATTGAGAGAGTAATAACTTCTAATAATTATTAATAAAATCTAAATTGATTTATAATATTTTACGTAAGGTTCGGTACAAAAAAAATTTTAACAAAGTTGTTCCGCTTATTATTTTTAATGAATTTTGTTAATAATCTGATAATCTAACTCTTGATATTGTAACCTAAAGTTGACCATAATCAAATCAAATATCTGACCTTACGCCTTACTGATAGTCACGCCAAATGCTAATTTAACTGGAAATCGTCTTCTTTTAAATTTAAAAGATATTTATTTTTGCAGAACAATGAAATATTATTTAAAAATATAATTTCGTCTACTTTATCGCCTGCTAGTATTTTGCAATTTAAGAAATAATTCTTCCGTTTAAAATTTGCAATCTTGCATAAATATGCAATCTTCAAGATGACCTAGATTTGAACAAGATACTGTAAATGTATGTTGTACTACATTATTCATTACTAACAATGACTTAAAACTTTTTTCTCCTTACTTAATAATAATAAGCTCAATTAATAGTAATAATTTTGATAAAATCAGGTTGCTAAAATTTTCAGTGTAATAATGATTTTTTGTTTAATCGGTAAATGTACTGGTGATCTAATAATACTGGAATTTTTTTTTTGCAATGATTTACTAAAAACATGTCATGCACCCGTGCAGAAATTTGGGCAAAAACCAAACTGGATTCGGACCTGGTTTCCCTACTTCATACTCGAATCGGACCAGAAAATCCTATTAGATTCCAATTAGGAAACGTCCCACTTTTTGGTAGGATTCGGACAGGGAGATCCATCTTGGATCGTATGGGAAAATCTAATAAAGATCCAACAATTTTAAAAAAGAAAAATAATTATACTTTTTATTACATAGCGCTAAAAAAAACAAAAAACTTGTTTTATTTCTAGTAGAAATTAAATTAGTCATTTGCTTCTTCCTCGATTACTTTTCTTGTACGTCCACCCCAATCTTTTGCATTACTAAAGGCTGCGCTAAGAGAGGTATTAAAAGTTGATTCCGTTATGAATTCTCCTTGATTATACCGGTGATTGCTTAGAATAATCACTGGAAAAAGTAAAATTGATTATTAGTTGATTATTGTTAATTACTCTACGCATAAAATGTACTTACTCTTTAAAAGCTTGAAGCAAGTTGATGGCTTGAATACAAATTCTCTCTCATTTACTTTCTTGAATGCAGTAAATTTCAGTATCATATCTTTGACAAACAATTTTTTCAAAATGTTAGTGCAACTTTTAGTTGGATTGTTTCCAACTTTGTCAAGCTGTTGTTTCAAAAATAAAGTCTGCAATAAGAAAAATTGATATTTTCAGACAATATTATTAAAAGTTAAAAGCTTTGATTATTATATTAATAATTAATAAAAATTTGGATTATTCACAATATAGTCCTCTAAAGAAGCGACATTCAATACGTTACAAAAGCGTAGCCATTCTTCAGATGTTGTAATTGGTAGAGTGATATTGTTTTCTAGTAATATTTCATTTAACCTCTGCAGATCTGAGCCCAATATTTTATTCTTCAATTCAGTAACATCTGATTGAAGTTGTTGGATCAAAAATTTTATGCTAACTAATGTTTTTAAAACAGCATGCATTTCAGCAGAACCTGCAATTTAATTGAAAAATGAAGACGTAAACGGTATTTTCAATTCAATAAATAGACTTTACTTTATACCGGTTGTGGATCCATATGCAGGAGCATCGACAGGCGGTGAACTTCGTTTTACATGTTGTTTACAGCCAGCAGTATTGGCGACTTCAAGAATATTTACTAATGTTTCGTCAGTATATTCTGTAAAAAATCAAATAATACTTGTAAACACATGTTAACAAACGCATATAACATTTTATTATTGAAATAATTTTTTAAAAACAACTTACGAAGTAATATCTCGTTATCCATGTTATAAAGATCATCAGTAATGCCAATATCATTGAAGCGTGCTTGCTTGCTTCCTGTATTGGCTCGAATTCAGGTACTTTTGATGGAGCCAAAACGTTTTTAGTTGTTTGCTGCATTTTTTCAAAATCAAGCTCCATTGACGATGGCAAAGTGTGCTTGCTTACACATTGAAGTGGCTTAAACAAAGGCTTTTTTAATTTACATGATCGATGGCTTGTAGCATTATTTTTTGAAACAATAACCTTATTTGGGTTCTTCTTTTTACCTAAAACATAAAATTTTATATT